TGTTTCAACAGAATAAGTTTCTTAGAGGAATACAAATCTCTGGTTCCCACAAATCTAAAAGTTGGTAACAGACCCCAGGAAACTCTAAGTTCAGATAATGATTCATGGATGATATCAGCTGAATGTACTTGCAAGTGACTTTTTACAGCATCATCTAGCAGAGGCCTAATCAAAGTCAGAGGCAGGGACATAGATTGTGCCCCACATTTGCATGAGCAGCTTCTACCAGCTTCACACAAATTCCCTGATACTAACCCAATGTATGATTTTCATCAGAATAACAATACCTATAGAATTATAATTCCCAAAGTAATAAGGGAGACTCATGTGTTTCATTCTGTCTGTGTCTGCTTAGGAAAGAAGCCTGTTAGTGTCCAAGAACTACATACTGTGTTTTAAATTTTTTAAAATCATTTTTTCTATTAAGTATACATTTGATTTATACTTACTTTGAAGTAAAATGCATTTAGTTAATAAAGTCATTAATATTTATTGAGAATTTACTCTTCCTATTCACAGCCTTAAGTCATCTGTCCTTAGAACAATTGATATGATTACACTTAGTCCCAGATGTGAACATCTAAATTGCAGAGCTGTGTTTGCTCAGAATCCAGGCTTTGTGGACAATTTCTGTTTCTAGGAAGCAGCCCCAGAGCAGCCTCACTTTAATGCCAAAGAATGGCACCCAACAGGAGACACTGCATCTGTCCTGGATGTAGGTAGGGTTTTTAGGAAGAGGTACTCATTTTAAGGTAGTTGACTAGAGTTTTCTGACTTGTGCAAAACAGTGAAAGAGGCAGAGCAAGGTCTATAACTCAGACCATAGCCTTGGACAGAGCCACTGGAAGGTGATTCAGGTGACTCACTGCTGAGTTATACTGATGGACGGTAGTAGTACTAGAGGGGCTCTTGAGATTCTAAGACTAGATTTATGTACTGGAGAAGGAGTAAATACTGAGTTCTAAGAGAAAGAAAGATGTGTTCTGAAAGTCTAGCACAGGGACTGACAAATAACAGGTACTAAATGCTTACTGAATAGTGACAAGAGCTTCAGATCAGTTGATGAGTTTACAGGATTGGAGTGGGTGGAGAAGATAGGACTTGAACTTTCAACTCTACTTTATACCATCAGAGGAATTTAAATAGGCAAAGACTTGGTAAGAATAAATAGAAAACAGAAGAGTGATTTTTATACAGAAATACCCTACACAAGTAGGAAAGATTAAACCCCTTTTTAGGGAAGAATAAAGCAAATAAATGAGAGCATTTTTTACTTTAGAATGGTCCATCCACATGTCCTTCCCTCCCTCCCTCCCTCCCTCCCTTCCTCCCTTCCTCCTTTCCTTCCTTCCTTCCAACAAATGCTCATTACATGTCACTTGCTATATCACAACTAAAACAACTGAAAAGATGAAAGGTAGGTACGCAGCCAAGTTATGAGGTATCTGGAATGCTAAACTCAGCAAGATGAACTTTGACTTGATGATTGGAAGCCATTCATCCACAGAATTGGATTTGAAAGTTTACAAAGGAAGAATAGACTAACAGAATGAAACAGAATGGATTGGAGATAAGGGAGGTGGAGTGAGAAAATGCATAAAAGGGGAATGTGAAAGTCCACAGGGAGAATGAACTCGAAACTGATGTGATGGTGAGGGTAGCAGAGAAGAAGGGCTGGGAAAGGCCTGGTTTTTTGGAGATGTTCCAGGGGAAAATAACCTGACCACAGTGAGACAGCAAGGAGGAGCAGCCATGGATGGTACTAGGTTTTCTTGGGAGGCAGGAGGACAATGGCGAAATGGGAAAGTTGGGAAAGTCCTCTTTTTTCTCTTTTCTCAAACTTGGTATCTCTGCCTTTGCATCCACCTTGAATCTAATCTTCATGAATGTTTCCCACATCTGATACCTACTGAGCAGATTCTGTAGCAGAAGAGGTCACCATCACTGTCCTGCAGCAAGAAGCATGTTTTTCATCCATAAATGAAATTTATTTTTGTAAGCTGGTAACCATGCTGAATTTTTAGTACATCAACTTTTAAAAGGAATAACACTACATAGATATATAAAATCGAGTTATTATGCAAGCGCAGGATTTACATTTCTCTACTTTTTATAATAACTTGATATCAGAACATACAGTAACACCTCAAGGAGAATTCTCATAGTTTATTTGTGTAGAGAAAAGGGTTATAAATCTTATTCTGCTATTCTGTTCTGTCAGATGGAATGTGTTGTAGCTTCCTCTAGATCAATGATAGAATATGAGAGCTTGGGTAATTGGAGTGTACCGATTATCCTAAATTCATTTTAATTTTAACCCTGTGTCTAATCATCCCTTTATCTGAAATCTTTTATCAAAGCCTTCTTCTCCCAATAAACAGTTTTATATTTGAATTTGGTCTACTGACCTTACCTACCTTTTCTAGTGGGAAGTTATGAGCAGGGAAAGGGCAAAACGATGCAAAGCAGAAGGCACAGAAAACATCAGAGTTTCTGATAGTTCAACAGATCCTCTGCTTTTTGTCAGTGAAGCTTGGGAGGTACATGAGTACACGTTGCTCAGCACCAAATGACTCTCTCCTGTCTTTCTGTGCTCCACGATGACAGATACTTTTCCTTAGTTATCACTGTGTTCTTTTCATATTCTTGGAATCCTGATGTTGGAAAGAGCATCAAAAGTTCATTGTGTTTCATTTCCCACTTGCCAACAGCATTATGCCTAAACTATCCACAGTGGGTTGTAATCTTTTCTGTTCTTTGGGTCTCAGACTTGATACCTGGTGTCAGTAAAATGATGGAAATGACTTGACTGGCAACCTGCTTATGACATGTGTTTACCCTGAGCAGTAACATAACAAGTACACGCTATAGATGAATGTGGTCTGGTTAGAAACTGCTGGTCCAAATTGCGAATGGGGGGTTGTGCAGAACAAAAAGATCATTTCCTCGAACAATAGTATTTTCGTCTATCGGAAATTTGTCATCATGATGTTTGGCACAAAGCAGGCACGGAGTAAAAGTTTAAGTGAGTAAATGAATTAACAAATAAATATCGATCGGTGGAAAAGCAAGTGAGTTTGCCTAACAAGAATGTGGGTAATGGTTTTTTCCTTTGTGTTCCCTGCATTCTTTTCCCTAAGGGGAGCTCTATAGGACATGAGTCTGTATGAGGCAGTATGAGAAAAAATCATTCTGGATTTTCCTGTCTCCTCTTTGGAGTTATGATACATATTAGCAATTACCAGATTTTCAAAGTTCAGATACAAAGGAACCCGTTGGATAAGTTAGCCTTTTATTTCACCTTAGACCTCTCTTTTTTACAAAGGTATCAGCCATCCACACGTTAGAAAATATTGTCCTTTGGGGCTCACTGTTCACATTTTTGCCTGAGGGAGAGACCGTGTCTCATTCATTTGTGTAGTCAGTGCCGTGTGCTGTCTGGGATCTCAGAGGCATTCATTGAAGATTTCCATGTGTAAGGTGAAAATGGCTCGTATGGGTTTAGTTGGAATGACACCAGTGCTGTCAGAGAAAGTTGATGTGTCATAAAGGTAAAAATGAGTGAGGTCAGAGTTGGAGTGAGAGACAGGAATGACAGGGAGAGCAGGTTCTGAATCCAAAGTGTCTATATTTAAGCCAGGTTCAAGTTCATATCTTCTGACACCACCCTTCAGTTCTTTGGCCCATTTTCCTCAGTGATTACAGTATTCCCCTTTATTCGTATGGAAGGTCAATTATTGACTGTTATAGAAATTTCCCCTTTTAAAACTTTAGCCAAGTGATTATTTGAAAATTAAAAGTTTTTTGGAAATATGACCTGAAACCCAGCCGTCATTGCATTTGAGCACTCCAAATAATGTCTTGTTCTTCTGACTGACTACTTTCTCAGCTTCCTACACATATGATATATCAGGGTAGCACTGCCAAAGATAAAGGACTTCAGAGGTATCCATAGGTGGAGTTACAGACAAATATGAGCGAGGCTGATGGTAAACAAAGGTAAAGAGACTAACATTCCAGAAGGGTTTGTTGCTGGTGCTCCATTAGCCATGAGAAAATGCTCTTCCAAAGTCTTTTCCTAGAACTCTGAATGGATGCCTTCACTGGCCACCTCATGATTTGCCCAAGTGGTCAGAGGAAATTGAAAATAGATAGAAATCAGCAGTGTTCCCATTGTTGGTATTACACATACTATGAACAAAGCTTTACAATTCTCTCCAGACAGTGAAATGTTCAAAAATTATTTATTTTGACTACATTTACTTGCAAGGAAATGTAGTTTTGGTACATTTTCTTCTCCTAAAGTTCTTATTGGAGAATGAGTGGGAAAATATCAGAAGGTTACATTAAGACCTTTCATTACAACAAGAAGTTGAAAGGTCTGGAAGTTTCAGTGTTTAGCATCACTTGAGGGGTGGATGTATAGGTACTTTAATCTCTATTTGACCTCAGCATTAACTTAATTTTTAAATGACTGCTTTTATAAGAGGTTCCACTTTTCTTCCACTTAGAAGTGGAATGGGTCTAAAGGAGATTATTGTGTTCATAATTACGATACAAATATCTTCTTCAGTGATTATCAGGTGCATACAATGGCATCAATTACTAAAAGACACAAAAGTATATGCTGACTTTTGTTACTATCACGGACTTTTACATTCAGAAGAGTGACGGGGAGTGCTTTGCCCACATCTTGCTGCATCTATGTTATTATGGAAACAAAGGGCTCTTACCTCATAGCCTATTGATATATCAAGTAATAAATGTGACAGTTACCGGTTCTATTTGCCTTATCCCGTCTTCCTGCAGAACTGAGACATAACATGTTTCTTACTAGGAACAGATGCTTAAGCCCTTCCTTTGAAATTCCTCTGGAGAAGCTGCCCTGTTGATTCCATTAGAGGGGAAGTGGCTTTATGCAGATGTCTGCTTGCTGGGATGCATTGTTGTAATTGCTGTTCTGCCGGCCCCTCGCTGAGTACCATGCTTTTCTCTTGTAGGTGATGTGCCTTCAGGACTTTTTTGGTGACGATGACATTTTTATTGCATGTGGACCGGAGAAGTTCCGTTACCAGGATGATTTCTTGCTAGATGAAAGTGGTAAGGAAAAAAAAAGTTCAAAACCAGGGGAAATTTGAGGCAGCTTTCCAAAATGAGCTGCACCAGGCCAAGATTATGTCAACTCCAAAGCTACCAAATCAGTTTCAGATCCTCAACTAGCATGTCTTTCCCATATCTTGAATTTCTTTGATTTTTGAATATAGAAAACAGATGAAATGATAATTGGAAAGGATAAGTCGTTTAGAAGAATAAATTATTAATGGCTCATTTATAATCATTGAATAATTAAATTGATGTTCTATAAAAATCATAGTGTGATTTCTACATTTTAAATCATATTTTAATTAAAATTTGTAATTAAGGGATTTATAATCATAAAGTTACTGAGTGTGTTCTTAGGCTCAGCTTACCTGTGACCTCCTTTAATTCTGAACTGGGAAAATGTATTGTTGTTTCATTTTCTTTCAGTACTTTGTAATTTGTACATCATTAGCATCTAAGAGGTACCAAAAAAGTAGCTTCTTTCCATTAATAAACTAAATATGATCCTCTGTACTTGATAAAAAAAAAGGAGCTCTTGATGAAGAGGAGCAAATTGACAAGGAAGTGAATGTGAAAGGTTTAGACTTTGAAAATGATTTTACTATCAATGCTCTCAGAATCTTAATAGTAACACAGGTACAATTAACATGACCATCCTTGATAATATTGTTTCTAATTTAACTAGAACAATATTACATGTTTATTGACAATTCAAATTCTGCCCAGTTAGAAATACTTTTTGAAGTTATAATGAATTTTTGCTTACATGAATGCAGAAAAATGTGAATGTGTACTAATTGCTGACTTAGATAATAAGATCAGTGATATAATGCGATATAATGACCTCATCCTAACACTGTAAATGTGTACTCATATTAAATAGATATAGATGTAGCTATAAATGCATAAATAGTCTTGGGCTACATAATGATATCTTGGGTCAATGACAGATCATATATACACTGGTAAGAGAAACCCAAAGTATAAATAATTTAAAGAGCAAAATAAAAGATAGATATTATGAAAAAGGGAGATAGATCCTCTGCAAATGGGAAAGAGAACTAGAGATAGAAGGAAGAGAAAAGGAAGAACAGTGAGATGTAAAAAGTTTAAGATGTGTTATGTACATTTACCAAATTCTCCTGATGAATGTAATCATTATATACAGCAAACATGTACTAATAAGAAACAAAAGATTATGCTGTGTAGTGACATTAAAGGCACTCTGGCTTTGTTCATCCTATAATGATCACATAACTAAATCATCTAAAGATGAATTTCTCACAATATATTCCCATCATTAAGTGGCACATGAATAAATATATAATATGCAAAATATATAATTCATTATATGTGTATAAATATAATACAGTTATTTTAAAATAACTTAGGGCGCGTAAGGAGAGATAAGATCGTTGCACAATGAGAGTGTGTGTCATTGAAGAGATTCATTCTGGTTCAGGGTCCCTAACTGGAGGAGTAGCTCGGCTTTTCCTGTAGATAAGTTTTCTCTCTATATGTATTCCATCTTCATAAATAACTGATCAAAGTGCTCTTTGGGGCAAACATTTATGTAGATATATCACTTGAAAGGTGTCCTCAGGGAGGGTCTCCCCCAGCTCACCTCTGTGTAAAGGTAAGACAACTTGTGTGGAACAAGTGAACATTTCCATTGAGGCAAATGAACTGACAGCACAGTTTTGGGAAAAATAAACTGCCTTGACTTTCAATTTAAAAAAAAATAGCTGTTTCTGATAGAATGGTCTGAGAGACCAGATGTGTTCTGAAATGAAAGTCCATTTGTTGCTTTGATATAGAAAACAGTCTGTCAGACCCCAACTGGAATACAGTTTAGTGTCAATCAGCAGAGTGGCCCATGGCTTTTTTAGCCCTGTGTATTTTCTCGAGCCCCCTGATAGACTTGGAGCTGCTTATCTCACCTGGCCTGGCTTGGGGAGGCCAAGCCGCTGGGCCTTCCCCTCTTGCACAGCTCAAAAGGCTGCAGACCACTTCTCTGCTAGTAGACTTTAAAAGAAATCCAGCAGAAAATCTCTCGTAGATTCACCTTAGAATGCTTTCCATGTGAAAAGACATGAGTTTATGAGCATGCATGTGCGTGCACACTTGTTCAGGTACACAAATACATGCTTGGACACCAGGACACCTTGCCTAGCTTTTATGGCTTGGCCCCTTGAAAGACCACTTCAGACATTCTGGTGAGTACTCACGTATTTTTCCCTCCCCACTTCTTGGAGCAAAATACACTTACCAAGTAATGTGTCTTCCTCCAGTCTACAAGGAACATGTGGATATTGGGAGCAAGGAGAGTTGGCTGGGGAAGAAATCTAAACGGAAGTTTTACTTCCTTGTATGAACTTACCCTGAGACTAAATTCACACATTGACATCTGCAATTTTCCTGTTGCTTGTACAGCATGTTCTAGTGCTAATGTATTAAAATTTGAATCTTTTCTTAAGTGCTCTGAGCATGACTTTGCCCAGCCATCTGTACTTGCTAAATAGTACTTGCACATCTATGCTTCCTTTGGCCTGTTCCACAGCACCTTCCTTGAAGACGTGGGGTTGGGGGAACACAGACATCTTCAGCATCAATACTCTTGTCCTACACAGGGCTGTGCTTGATTTAATGGCACCAAGAAGAGGCCTTTTGCCACAAGGCAACACTTCTATTTTCTCTTTCAAAATTAACCAGCTCCTAGCGTGTTCAGGATTAGCAATAATATATCCCCCTAATTACTTCTTGGAAAGCTCCTAGGGTTGTCACTTATGGTCTTTCTAGTGAGGCATTTTGCCGTTACAGATGCATATTTCACTGGGCCACATGGGAGCCAGATTAGTATTAGAAACAGCAAGATATCCTCTTTCCTCCTCTAAGTTTTCACATGTGGAATAAAATGCCTTCCCTGTTCGAGTCAGAATGTGACCATTTTAGCGACATCGTCATCAATCAGTGGAGTCTTAGCACCTTCGAAATGGTAGATACAGCTCTATATATAGAGACAGACAGAGAGGCCGACAGATCCATCCCTCGCATGGCTGGTGTCTAATTTAGACTGATGAAACATAGTCATGGAAAATGCCAAACTGGAGACAGGCAACTCATTGTGGTGATGCTTAGATATTGGTGACAAACTGACAAATTTGAGCTTTACGGATTTTCTTGAGAAATGTCCACTTCACACCTGGAAAGGACAATTAACTCCTTGGTGATGAATCTGACACTGCACATCACCCTTTGTCCACCCCCCCCACTTGCAGATCCAATATCCCCACTCTTTTTCTTCACCTGGCATCTCTCCCTGCCAGGCCCAGTCCCTGCTGAAATCTACATATCTCTCATCTTCTCTTGACTTTTCTAGGATCTTGCTTGCTTCCAGCCAATTCCTAAGCCCCTTGATTCTGATGCTACATTTTTGCTGTTGTATTAAGTGCCCTGGGGCTGCTGTAACAAAGCACCACAAATTGGGTGGCTCAAAACAAGAGAAATTACTGCAAAAAAGGATCTCAAAAGCTGTCACCACAAAGAGATAATGTTTGAAGTGACAGATATGCCATTTACCTTGATTTGTTCATTGTTCCCTTGTTCCTTGCATACATGAATAGAAACATTATTCTCTAGCCTAAAACATCCTCATTATGTATTAATTATAAATACAAATTTTAAATAACAGAGAGTCTCCTAGAAATTTACTGTCTTGCAGTTTTGAAGACCAAAATCCCAACATTAGGACTGGCCATGGTAGAGATGTCCTCCCCCTGAAGGCCTGTCTTGGATTTCCCACAGCCCTTGGCATTCCTAGGTGGCAGCAACAGTCCAGTCTTTGTTTCCATCACTGTGTGGCCTTCTTCTGTGTTCATATCTCCTAAAAAAAAAAAAAAAGAAAGAAAAATTCGCCAGTTATTGGATTCAGGCATATGCTACTCTAAGCCAAGAACCTCTCCAAAGACCCTATTTCCAAATGATTTCACAGTCACAGGTACTGGGAGTTAGGACTAGAACATGTCTGTCCAGGGAATAAAATTCAACCCACAACAGACATTATTGGGAGCTGTTCAGATTTTATTTGAACTTGGTTTATAAGTAAACTAATAGGTTTTTGCTTCTATTAACCTTTGCATTATATTTCTTAGGATTTTACATAAACAGCAGAGCTGTGATGAGGCTGCCCCCTCTTCTGGCCTTTCACAGTAATGGTCTGTCTCAGTTACTTTCTTATCACTGAGACATCACCTGATGCCCACAACTTAAAGGAGAGGTTTATTTTGGCTCATAGTTTGTAGGGGTTTCAGTCTATAGTTGGCTGACTCAAGGCTGAGCAGCACGGCAGAGGAGAAACTGCTCATGGCATAGCAGCAGAGAGCAGAGAGAAAGAGAGCGATCAAGGGAGGAGGGAGGGACATAGACTCTTCCAGGCCACGCCAGCAGTGACCTCTGATCACACTTCACCTCCCAACGTCACACTTAGCTATAAACTTATCCACAGATGACTGTCAGTTCCCCTGATCCAGTATAGCCCAAAAGCTCAGTCTATGAGTGCATGAGGCTTTGGGGAATATCTCTATATAATCCATAACAGGGTCCTTCACCTAGTTGGTCAAACATGGTGCCCCTATTAAAATCCCTTTGACTGAAATGAAAATGTATGGGTTGATGGGCACAGCGCTTGTGGTATAAGGGATGATACAACTCCTTTATAGGCTGGTGGCCAATGTATGGGAAGAGATCTCTACACAAATTGCATCAAATGACTGAAGGTAGGGACTGTGTTTACTGAGAGTCATGTGTCAGGGTTCTGCTTTGGATCCTGTGTGATTTGGCATAGTTAGCAATGCCGATGAGAATGTTAATGTGAGTGGATGAATTACTCTGGCAGGAGAACTAATGTAATCAAAGACAGGGCATAGGCCTGCAAGGTTCCTAACAGGTGGATTTTTTTTTTTTTTTGAGACAGGGTCTCATGTCAAGTTAGTCATGAA